GGAGAACCCAGAAGGTTCCACGTGAAGTACCGGCTGCCAGCTTCCTCCTGGCAGTGCAGCTAACAGTTGTAGCACCATCTGAGATCCCACAGAAGTTACGGATGGTTCTCCTCACTTTGGAAGCTTTACTGGCCATGGGGTTGGTGGATTAGCTGTGCTGTACAGCTGTGGCACAGCCCATTAGGCTTCTTGCCATCTGGAGTCATTATAGATACTTAATGTGAACCTGGGGTTTTTGTTTTACTTATACAACATTTTTTCCTACTAGAATGTTGCCTTTTCTGTCTTGCTGGTTACCTGCAATTTTTCTGGTGATGCTTTGGAGGCAGAACTTCGGACATCTATTTTGGGAGTGCTTGGTCAGTTCTGGACATTCCTTCAGGCTAAGCAGGTGAGAGGATTTACTGCTCTGACAGTGAAAACATGATGTCTGTGGGAGGCTGCTGCTGTTACAGCATGTCTGTTACTAAGTTGTTTTACTTGGGTCAGACCATTTCTGTAAAGCACAATTCTGTTGTCAGGTGGCTTGTCTAATAGATAGGCTTGTGCTAGGAAATGGAGTTTGAGTTTCCCCAAATGCATGGCTCCTTCTTACTGTGTCTGTCACTCAGTGCCAGACTTGCTTAACAAGAAGTCTGAAATACCTCATTCTGATTCATCTCAATTACGTATTTGGCCTATGTTAAATGTCTATTAGAAAGTGAACAAAACCCATGGTGACACTGGTTAGCACAGGAAAGACTACAGAGCTAGTAACTTTCCTCTCATATTTGAGAACAGGGGTAAGGTGATCTCCTCCTTGTGACTATATACCCAATCATTCATGTCTGCAGTTGGAGTCAAGCAAAAAAAAGGAATTATCACAGTTACTACTCCAGATTAAAACAAAACAAAAACAAAAACAAAAAACCCAAAGGAAAGGAGTTGAGAGGAGTCAGCAATGTGCCCTTGAGAAAAAGAAGGCTGATAATAGCCTGGACTGCCTCTTGGGCGGGGAGTGTTGCTAGCAGGCTGGGGGAGGCAATATCCTTCCCCTCCTCTCAGCACTGGTGAGGCCACTCCTGAAGCTGCACTCCCAAGACCAAGAGAGAGATGGAATTCCTGGAGAGTGTCCAGTGAAGTGCCACAGAGGTGATCAAGGGACTGGAGTGTGTGTCCTGTGAGGAGAAGCTCAGGGAGCTGGAACTGTTCAGACTACAGATGAAAGTTTTTGGGAAGATCTTATCAATGTACATGAATATTGGAAGGGAGGGTGTGAAGAGCCACGCTCTTTATTTTGCTTATATTGGTGAGTGGAGCAAGGAAAAGGGGTTTAAGAAAGATCATTAATAAAAATCTGAGGAAAGGATCTTAAAAAATACAACTACTTAGAAATATGTATTTGTATTTCTATCTCAATCTTCTCTGCTGCTTATGATGTATTGCTTTAAGTGTGTAATTAGGCTAAGAATTTTAGGATGCTACTGCAAATACTTTAGGTAGTTATTCCATAAACTGAAATACACTGATAATGCATTTGCACCTTGTGATCTGTTGAAGGTCTCAGATGAACCATGTCTCCAGCAGATGTTGTGTTTATTACTTCAGCTTCTGGAGTTTTTCATCCAGGCATTAGATGCTCAACTAATTAGCCAGGTAAAGAAAACAACCAAAAATTACGAGCAATGTGCTTCATGAAAAGCTTGTTCTTTGTGATTTAATGACATCCCAAAGTTATCTCATGGATTGGTCTTTATCCGTGCTAGTTTTCCTCAAGCAATAGCACACCTTCTTTTGTTTTCAGTCCCACTTCATAAAATCAACATCCTCAGATTCAATGATTACACAGAGCAGCATTCATCTGTTATTCTGTTTGCTGGGCTTTGTTTCCTGCAGGTATTTTCCCTGCTGTCTTCCCTTCTCCGGATGGATCCCCCCGATCACGTTCGTCAAGCAATGCTGGATTTTCTCTCTTCTGTGGGGAAGGTGTTTATACCACCAGAAGTACAGGTAATAATAACTGGTTTTACTTAGTCTTTAGACTTCAGCAAAAAGATTTCGACTATTGAAATATAAAAGATTGAGTTAAATACATACAGATGTGCCACGACTTAATCATCTTGGAGATTCATTTTTCATTGGCACCCCGAGTGCATGTAAGATGCTTGGTTTATTTATTTGCTCATTGCTTCTCACCGGTTAGAAAGGGCTGATGTCTGAGCCCCTAAGAAAGCATTTCACCTCCCTTACAGAAATGTGTTGCCAAACAGAGCAGTAGCACTCTCACATTTCATGAACCTGTGCCTTGAGTGTAGACCAATCCTTTAATAAATCAATCATTCTGGTAAGATACAATTAACTGCTAGTAATTGATAGATATTTGGTCTTTTTCCAGAGGCAAGTTGTACCCCAGCTGTCCTGTTTGTTTGCTTCTCTGCTAGCTGACCAAACCTGGTTGATTCACCAGCGTGCACTGGAGGCATTCAGACGCTTTGCAGAGGTAAGAACAGCAGAACTCTGGATCTAATAGCTTTGGTCATACAGGGATTGTTGTGTCTTAAATGTTTGCTGCTCTTCACTGAAAATGCAGGATTTTAGTTACAAATGCTATTGCACATAGGTCAAACTCCTCATGTAGTTACATGTGATTTCAGGAGCTAGAAGTGAATGAAAATGAACTGTTGGTTGCTTAGATTGATTGCAACAAGGAAGGTTGTTTAAAATACTTTGTCACCAGACAATTCTTCTGATATTGTCACGGAAACGTTTTTCTTTGTGTATTTCTTTCTTAATACTTAAACTACTAAAGATCTATTACCCAACATTTCTGACAGGAAACAATCCATGAAGATGTTGTTCCTCAGTGCCTTGATTCTGAAGAAATTAAGAATAAAGTTGTTAATTTTATGGCTAAGGTATGTTGTTGAATCAGCTTACTGCTTTTTTAGTTGATGTTGCACATATCCATGATTTATGAGCCTGGCTTCGCTGCCACACTCCTGTAGGTTTTGGCTATGACTGTGTCCATGCCATCATCTACAGGCAGATTAAATAGCCAAGTGTAAGTTAATGAATTGTCCTGTTAAACTGTGATCTGGTTGAATTTTTCTATTTGCTTAAATCATGAGGATTAACAAATGCTATTTCTATGCATGCTGTTCTTCCAGTACTTCTCCATTTTGATTTCAAATGCTTTGTGTTTCCCTCAAGAAAAAAAAGAATAAATGGCAAAGTTGCAGTTGTTGTTGTGGGCAGATAAGGTGTCTATGAAAAAAGACAGTGATTTCATCACACTGTGTTATTTCCTTCTTTCTTTTTTTCTTGGACCAGCTTCTATAAACTCTCACACATTCGGATTATTTCCCTAATTGTTCTGGTACTTATTAGAACTGCTGAAGGCTGGTAATGACTTCTTGTTTGTTACCTCTCCTGTGGCTTTCTCCCTAGGTAAGGCAAGGCGAAGAGACAACAGAAGCACGTATAGAACGCCTGAAACAAGAAAGGATTACCTGTGGTGCACATTTTATGAAAATGGTTGGAGAACTGGAGTCAACAGGAGAGGTATGTGTACTTCTTTGAACTGCCTTGCCTCTATTGTAGATTTCTGCAATTTTCTGGGGAAATGAGGAAGTATCTGAAGAGGTTCAAGTCAGCCTTTGCTGTCTTCCGTGTTCTAGGAACAAAAGGCTGTGTGCAGTCCTGGACCTCAGTATTACAGCTGCATGCTCTGTTCTGCCTGTCAGCCAGAAAGAACTTGCATGAGACAAGGGAGTCTCATGCAGCTTTCCACTCTGTGAGGGTTTCTTGCATTTGGGTGGGTTCTGATCACATCTAGAAGGGATTAGAGATGTCTAATGCTTACTTAAATTTGCAGCCTCTGGCAAAACGAGCGTGTCACCCCCCGTCTGAGGAGCAGTACAAGTCAGCAGTAGGCACAATGGAGGGGGCAGTGGAGGCCGTGAAGCTGCTGCTGCAGAAAGGATCACCCCCTGCATGGGTTGCAGTGAAACTGGAGGCTCTACATACAGCTATAGCCATCCTCAGAGACAGCATACGGTAAGGTGGTAATGGGGTGTGAGAGATGCTGAAGCCTTTCAGCTCTCTGTTGTGAGGGAACTGATGCTTTGTTTGTACCATGGCTGCTGGAGAAGAAAAAAACTGTGACATGAGGTGACGCTCTGCTGCACTGCTAAGTCTTGGTTAATATCCCCAAATGAACTGAGGCCCATCTTTCATACCTGCTGTCTGGATGAGCAGTATGTTTCAATGGACATCTCTGTGCTGACTTTTGTACACTGCTGCTGTCTAAGTTAGTCATCTTAAGCTCTGCTGTGATGATAAACGTTTCATGAAATTTTATTTTGAATATTGCTATGTTTGAATGTGTTGTGAAAATAACAGTTACCATTGTTCCTGTCACACAGGGGATGAGCAGTAGGTGCTGTGTGTTAATATTTTAAAGTACACTTAAAAAATAACAACATAAGGCTCTGTGCTGTTCTCTGAACACTGTTGGTTCCACTCCAGACTAGGGTCATCTTTTAAAAATAATCTTTATTCATCACAGTTAAGAGCAGAATAAATGTGGCGCTTAAATGGTTTGCGTTGAACAGTCCTTCACCGTGCATTTCCTAGCACCTTTTATGCAATTCATGGAAAGAGTTTTATAAACAGAAATAAATATGTTGTACAGATTAATTTTAAAATCATCTTACAGCTAAAATGTTACAAGGATCAATTTCTAAGGGCTTTCTTGCCAGGAAAAAAAAAAAAGCAACAAAAATAACAAGCCCAATAAACGGGTAAATCAGAATAATTTTCATTTATTGTCATCAGAGCAGAGATGAGTTTTGCTTGCACCACCACTCAGCCTCCATCAGCATGTCAGCACCAATGCACCCATCCTGCTGTTCCTCTCTCCAGCAGCATGGCACACACCACAGCTGGGCCTATTGTTCGAGTGCAGGCCTCACCCCCCTGCATTTTTTGGCACAGATTGGAAAGGAGCATCCATGAGAAGGGATTGGGCCCCCTGGGATTTTGCTGGCTGCTGCAGCAAGTGCCTGCCTTTTCACAAAAGCAGTGCTGAGGTACTTATCCATTATATTGTAGAAGCAGCAACTTCTCTTACAGATTCCAACACAGCATAAATTGCCTTTGTCTCTTTCAGTCCCATTACCAGTTAGCATCATCTTCCCAGTTCAACTCTTCTTCTTCACCCCAGCCTGCAGCTTCAGCCTAGAATCATGTAAAATTATCAACATTAAGGCACGCACACTGTACTTCTGTTCTTAATGCAGCTACAGGAAACAGGCAGCAACCAGGCCAACTTGTGATGGCAGAGCAAGACATTTTTCACAGTGCTTGAAGAGAAAGGCACCCTCTTCCTTGCCCCTTCGAGCACCTGGGCTTTACACAGAAAGCCCCTCAGAAACCAAAAACAAAGCACTGGAATTTACAGCTTTTCATCTTGAAGGACTTCTAACTGTAAAAGGAAACACTTTAAATACAAGGAATTTCTTATGGTTTCCTCCTAAACTTAAATCAAGCTTTGTTTCTATCAAAACCACTTTTCGTTAAGAACGGGATGCTATAAAATAGACTTCTTTCCCTTCCTCGTAAGAAACAGCTGTTGTCCTGCTGTACTCCAGCACTCTGACTTTGATCTCACTCTCTGCTACTCCAAGAGCATTGTCCGCACTACAATAAGTGGATCCCATAAAATGAGGTAGATATCAAATCTCATTTTCAAATGTTGTAAACAACCTCAATTTAGACGTAAGGCTCCTCTTCTCATGCTACCACTATGCTAACTCTCCTAGGGCTAACTCAGCAAAACAACTTGAAGTCAATATCTATTCCCTAATGGAGGTTAAGTGTTCAGGTGGAAGTGCTACCTCCCCTCCCTAGTGAACAGAAGCAGTCTGTGAAGCCCTAGAGCTGGAGCTAGATGCATTTATCTGCTTACCCTGAAAGGTAGCTTATAAAACTGCCTCCCAGGTCTATGAACGGGAGAAATGCCTCACCTAATCCTTCCTGAAAACAAGGCTCCAAAAAGCTTTTCTCTGTATTATTGCAGGTATTATTTCTTCACTCTTTCTTCTGGAAAAACCTGCTAGCATTATAAATAACCACCAGCAACAGAGCCTTGAATATCCTCTGTGCTTAGAAGCCCCTGTCTCTCAGTGCTTAGGGCCACGTTTGTTCAGCAGACAGTATGCAGCCTTATTTCACTTCCCCTATCTGACAAAAGACTCACCCTAAAGCCACGTAGGGTCCTAGCATGCAGGATACAGCAGCACAAACTAAAGTCATAGATTTAACTTAGAATTCTGTAATCAATTTCCTTACTGTTCCTTAACATGGCTGCCTTGCTGCTGTGGCAGCCCAATTACCCCAATTACCCTGCGCTTGATAAGAGGCATCATCCAGAACTCAGTATCTTGTATTCACAACTGTACAGCCCTGCGTTGCTGATACTTCCTCAGGCTATCAGCTATATGATATATGACATGTGATGTATGGAGCCTGCTGCTGCCACAACAGCATGTTGTTCGATGTGTGTGCTTTAGAACCCTCTCAAATGTGCATTTGTTTAAACCCCGCTGTCCATAAGCTCTTACCTCACTAACATCAACTGCTGCAAATTTGGATGAAAACAGCGCATTCTGGGAGGCACCTTCTCTGCTGGATTCTGCACCAGGGTGACTGGGAACAACTGCTTCTGTCCTTGCTTCAGGTAAAATCAAGACTGCTGAAGAAGGTTTAATGTCTGGTATCATGTCAGCAAACCAGTCCAGCTCAGGGTCTTGCACTGGTTTCCTCTTCACTTTGATGGTGAATTCTTCTCCTAGGCCAGACTCCGATGAAGACTTCAATCTTTCCTCTAAGGTTTGTTTGGGCAGCACAGTTTTTCCTAGTTGTCCTTGATGGTCCTGCTTGTTACTGTTCCAGCTGTTCTTAGGGGAGGACTTTGTTGAGGGACTCACTTTGAGGCTTTCTAACTCTTTGCTCTGTTGATGGGTACCCAGGAGAGTCCTTCGCATTTCAGCTGCATCAGCTTGTGTCACAGTGAAGCAGTTTCCTGAGGTCAGGTCAGTATGAGGGCTGCTGGGCTCAAAGTCATCCCAAGGCTTCTCATCTACATCATGTTCAACAAAATAAGGTCCCGTGCTGCCCTGTGGTTTTTGGGGCTGAATTTGGATGTTCACAGTTTTCTCAGTATCTGTCTCCTCTGGCTCACTCCAGTCTGGCCACTCCTCTGCTGGCTTTTCGGAGGTAGTTAAAGAGCTCCTGCTGTTCCCAAGCACATTAATGCTCCCAGGAACTCCATTAAGGGGGAGCTGAGTGGTTTGCTCACCTGTGGAGGATAAAGGTGTTATATATGCATTTCAGAAAGGCAAGTGTGGTTGACATCAGCAGATGGCACCTGGCATGGACATAAAGCATTTGCCAGTTCAGAAAGTAACGGTAATTGCGAAGGTGTTTCAGTGCTGAGCTCTTCTCAAATTAGAAAGCACAGCCATCTTCCTGTCTGCAAAGTGGGGGGCATTAAAAACTGGCAGCTGGCAGACATCATTAAGTGATTGAGAGAAGGGCAATAAAGGACTGAAAAAACGCCATGAAAGCAAACAGAGTCAGCTTCTGAAGTCAGAGAATGAGCTGACCTACAAATAATCAGAGAGGCAACAGTCTGCAGGAGGGTCTCTGCCATGTTGTGGAGAGGTGAAAAAGAACAGCAGAGATCCTGTGGTATGGAAACACAAAAATCCAAAGCAGGCCAAGCATCAATGCTTGTAATCATCAGATTCCCAAATAACTATTCCCTAGAAAGTCAAGGGTCATGTGCTCCTTCCCTCACTATTACTTCCTTTCAGACAGCACATGGGCAAAATTTACATTTCTCAAACAACTTTTCATTTGTAGGACACTTGGTTTATAAATAGGAAGAGATAGGTCGAAGTTTTACCTTTAAAAGCCAGTGGATTGTCTTGTTGCACAGAATGCTTCTTGACAACTGCGTTTCCAGAGACAGGGAGCACGCTGGAATTGTTCTTCAAAGGCCAAGAGGTTTGGTGTCTCTGATTGCTTACAGCATGAGTTGGTGAGTCTGCAGGGACAAAAGAAAGGCCATTAAGTCCACCGGGTGTGTTGACAATCTCAGTTGAAACTGCCCACGGCATTGGAGTTTTATTTACTACAGCAATACCAAAGACTGGCGCTGCAATGCAAAAACTGCACCTCTTATCTATACATAACAATACTACTGTTCCTGCAGCTCTCCAGTACAAAGTTCAGGCAATGTAAATGGGTCAGTTTTTGCTGCTCTGTTCTTTCAAGGTACTCACAGTGAACAAACAACATGATCTGAATTAGACACTTAGAAAATGCTGTCTGCCACACAGCTGGATCCAGTTGGATGCATGGCAACACCAATCTCCCAGTCTGCCTCATATGAAAGCACAGCAGTCACAATTCAAAGCATAATGCCACTGCACAAACTCTTTATGTCTGGGCATGATTAAAGCAAGAACAAGAGGCTTTATCCCAAAGGCTGTATGACAGCCTTACTTGTACGATGCACCCAAGGTGAGGTATGATGGAGGGAACGTTAAAGGCTGCACACTGAAGCTGCATGAGGCAGGCTTGTTTTCCTGGGCTGGTCAGAACAGTGTGCAAGCATCTGGTTCCAGATGATTAGGGCAAGCATCTGGTTCCAGATGATTAGGGGAGTTGTAGCATACTGTCACTGATGCACTAACACTGGCTTCAGCTGTTTAAGCCCCTGCTCCCATCCCTTCAAAGATGCAATAGAAGGGCTTGGGTCACTGCTGTCTCCACCTGATGCTGTGTGATGCCAACCAACTCACAGGATGGGAAAGGACTACAACTGATACACAAAACATGAGCCCTCCATAAAGGGTGCATCCTTTCAGGAGCATAGACTAACATCCCATTGAGTGTCATCTATGCAGTATATAGTACTCCTTTTTGTACATGACCACTCACTGTAGAGGACAAAGGGTTGATTTTCAATACCCCCACCCCTCCATCAACAGTTAAATCAGGTCCAATTTTAAACATATTCTGAAAAATGCATCTCTTCTTAGCATAGAAGATGAAGGTTTTTATTTACTACAGTCTACTACAATAACATAAAAAAAACACTGCAATGAACCATCCACAGATTTTAATGAGGAGCAGCAGTTACCAGTACACACAAGCAGGACAAAAACATTTACACTGGAAAAAAAAAAATTCATCTCCATCATGCATTTCACATAGGTACCTATGCTTTATGTCTAAAATAGAGCAAATGATTCCCTCCAGCTACAAGTATTATTTCAACATGCAGAAAAGTTTTCACTTGGTTTACACTTGGTTCCAAGTTATTTAGCAGGTGCACGGACTACTTTCTTCATTTGGATTAGGTGAAAAGCCTCCAGAGAGCTGAGAAAATAGGGAAGTTTGTATTTCTTTTCCAATCTACAAACAGAAATCGAGGGGAAGAGGATGAAATTTACTGCTTTTAAAAAGCATGAAGGACAGAGGAAATATTGAACAACTACTTGGATGCAAGTATGTAAATCTCAGAGGAGTACAGTACAGCTCTTCCACTAAAGACAACTGCACTTTAATATGATTTCCTTTGCACATCTTTCCTTGCCGTTTAGGGGCAAATTAGGTTTCCTTTAATTAACCTAACAGAAAAAGATTATTCAACCAAGAAATTCCACCCGTGTTGCAGGGACAAAAACAACACGAATCCCAAAAGAACTCACATCACTCACTCACCTTCTGGGGAGAGATCAGCAGTTTTCATGAAACTTGGTGCAGAGCTTTTGAAAATCTTTGTTCTTTCACCACCTACAACCACTTCAGGTCCAAGCAGGGAGACAAGAACTGCTAAGCTGTGTAGTGTTATTGCCACAATAGAGTCACTAGTGTCTCGAAGGCCCAGCAATACCTACAGCAAGAATGGGACAATGTTATCAAGAACAGAACATCCTGTTTTCCCCACTTTTTTCCTCCCTCCTCTATACATGTTGTATTTGCAGCACTTTTCAATTCTAAGATCTCCTGAAGCTCTTAGTGGATTTTGGACATTATTTTATGCCAGAATACCAGCCTTCCACTTTGTGTGAAAGCTAAAGAGTACACAGTCATAGCATTTGGAGAGCTCAGACCGATTGCTCCCTGCTGACAACTGCAGTGTTCTGTGAAACAGAAATGCCATCTCTTGTTGTGAGTCTGCAGTCCAAGCTGACAGGTACCAATCAGCACAAGCAGTGGATGTGTCAGAGGCATGAGGTTTAACAGAAACAGCACTCCAGATCAGGGTGGGGTGTCACACTTAGGGCTTGTGTAAAAGGAGGCTGGAAACTGTTTGCTGCCAGTGCTGCGAGAACTTAGTTTTGAGCTAAGAGCCAATAGAGCAGCAGAAATCCCATATACTCGGATATACACCATGTATTGCTTTCCCATCCTTAACCTGTGGCAATATGATGTTTTTCAACTCTTCCCGAGAGAACAGTTCTGCATAGGCATGAATGTGAGACAGCAACACCATCCGCACGTGCTCCTCATGAACCTCAAAGAGCTTCAGCAGCACAGGAATCACGTGAGTCTGGAACAAGGCTGGCGACAGGAGGCAGCTGGTCTGGCTTTCTCCAGTTTGCTCTAGGGAAGAGATGGGAAAAGCCTGCATTGAAAACCACAGGCAACACTTCCAAAAGCTATTCAGTGAGAGACTGTTACAGCTGAAATCTACAGCATAACCCCAGTGCTGAGTCTGAGTCGAGGAGAGACAGCCAGCATCTTTTGCCTGACAGCAATGGCTCTGAAAGCTTAGCAGCAGTCATAAGAAGTACTGCTTGCCTGAAATACCAGTAGTTATTTAGGTAAACTATAAGAGAGTGGAAGCAAGCAGCACGGCCAGAGGTTGCTGTAGATCCAGCAAGACATGCTGAACATCTCCCTCAGAGATGACAGAAGAGAATCAGTGCAGGGCTGTACAGCCCAGGCTCTCAGTGGCTCACTGGGCAGGTGGGGTGACACTTAAACACGGGAAAAAGCCTGGGCAATTTGTAATTCTCACCTAGCATCAGCAAAGCAGTGGAAAAGCACTTCAAATGGGGAAACTCACATAACTCTCCTCTCTAGTTCTGTGCATTAGAGAATTTGTTCTTGTTAAACAAACAACACTACTTCATGATTCAGTGGAATGACCACCGAATTAATTCCAAAACTGTCAGTAATAATTTTGAATAAAGCATTTAAAGATCACCTTTCTTTGGCCCCAGCAGATGAGGAAGAAAACTCCTGACAGCTACAGGTTCAGCAAACACAAGTTGATTGAGTAGAAGAGGCACCAGCCGTGATGCTATCAGCTCCTCTGACAAGCCAGCCACCCTGTCCAGCAGGAACCTGTGTTCCAGGAGAGAGCAATTGGTATCAAAGTGGCCTCTCATGCATTTACGACCATTTCTCATTGTACTGCCTTCCCCTCTTTTGGGGGCCTGCCTGAGCTTCTACATAAGGAGATTTTCCCTTGTAAAAAAGGAAATCCCATATTGAAATCACATCCAGCTAATGCATTTTAGAGGCAGCCAGAAGAGCACGAAAGAAAAATTCCGCTTCTCCCCTTCTCAGGCCAGGTAATGCCATGACTAAATGGAAGCTTCTCTTAGAGAAAAGAAATCTGGAGAATACGACAATAGGATTTCCTGCAGATGCTGCACTTCAGCAGCCTGGACATCCACTACAGACAGCAGCTTTGCCCACAGGAGGCTGGGACCACAAAATTAATTCACTCGACAAGACTTAGCCAAAATTCTCATTATCATTTTACCAAGATCTGCCTACATGAAAGAAAACTTCAGCCTTCAATGTGTCTGGTGCTACATTTCACTTTTTAAACAAAGTCATGCTCAAAAGAAAGCTACTTCTAATAATTAGTTGAGGAAAAATTCTTTTCTTCCACTGCACTGAAACAGGTTTCCTGATATTTTAGACTGTGAAACTGGGCAGACAGCCTTTGTGTAAAGCAACGGGACCCTGGAGCAGCTCAGCAAGGAGCCAGAGGACAGGCTGATCACCACCTCGAGCAAACAAGATTGTTACACCACACTCCCTCCCCCAGTGGCACTACAGCAGATGAATGCACTTTCCAGATGATTGCCACTGCGCAATGGGAGATGGGGTAGTGCTGCTAAAGGGAGTGAAGGAAATTCAAACAGCATTACAGAGCAAACAATATTCTGCCAAAGCAGTCAAAATCTGGCACCCGAGGAACCATTTCCCTGGCAACTAGTCTTCCCAGCTCTGCCTGATGCCCGTGTGACAGAAGCATTTCTGACATAAGCTTCCAGATTGCAGTTCCTTCACCTACTTGAAAAATTCTGTTTTCTCCTCCTCAGATTTTAGTGTTAAGGTCTTCAGAAAGTTCACAACTTCCAGAAAATCATTCCTAGGCAAAAAAAAAAAACAAAAAAAGTAGATTGTCACTACTGTAATGAGTGCTAACTCAGCACCTCAGCTGGAAGGTGATAATGCTTTCTTAACTTAAGGACCCTCTTCAACAAAGAGCCCCGTAACAGAAACAAGCAGTACCAAGAAACAAGATTTTTCTTTCCTTACCTGAAGAATTCATGAGACAGTAAGCTGGACAGTGGAGGACGACACTTTGGATCTGGATTCAGCAGAGTACAGTGCAGGGTTTGCTGAAAGCTGGAGAGAATATCTGCTGAAACTGAAAGCCAGAGCACCTACAATTAGATTTCTCTACCACTGGATAAGCTATGCTCAGGAGTCTTCCACTTCTCCTGAAAACTTACTTTTAGAATCTGTTTGATAGCAAAACGACTCATATTTGCTCCCAAAGGAAGAGAGAATAGCATCTCCATCCTTCTCCCTATGCTGCTGGTCTGTCATGGCACCAAGGAGTGTTACTGTCCTCTGAGAAGCTTCCTGCCCCTGCTCAGCTGTGGAACACAGCACCCACGTGCCATGTATTTGTGTTCCTAAGCACTCAGTGAAGTTTCTGGCGGGAGCAGAGCTGTGCAAATCTCTGACTGCTACAGAACAGATTTGGGAGCACTTGTGTTGTCTGACCACATTCAAACAGGGGGAAATGGGAATAAAGGAGATGCTGATGTTTGGATTTTAACCTAGCAAACACCAAGATCAGTGATGGCCACTAAACCTGCACCACACACATCAGCTGCAGCAAGAGTTGCATCAGCCAACACACACAAGGGATAAACTTCACAGGTCCATATGTTGCAGATAAACACGTCATTGCTCACCCTGATCATTTAGGGCTGTCAGGAGATTTTCAACCATGGCTCCAAAGGCATAGGCGTCCCTTGCATGCCCGCAGCTGCTGGGCAGAATTTTGAAATCTACAGACTGAAAACAAAAGACAAAACCAAGAACCAAGATCAGCAAAGCAGGAGTTCACAAAATCCTTGCCAGAGACCTCCATTCCCCCACAAATGCTCTCCAATTCTTTTTATAGCTCCAAAGCTCCACCAGGTACCCAATTAAGCAGAGCATTTTGCAAAAAAAAAAAAAAAAAAAAAAAAAAAAAAAAAAAAAACTTCCACCAAGGAATTTAAAACCCAAGGAGGAATGGCTTCACGGTGTAACAATTCCCCCCTGAATACATGCTGCAATTATAAGTCAACAACTTTCAGCATAAGCAGGGGTAGGAAAATAAATCAGATATTATCAGATATTAATATAATAAATCAGATATTATTATTATATAGCAGCTGCCTTCTCCCATTTAGGCATAAAGAAACAAAGTGTCTGAATGAAAACTATTTTCTGAATACAACACTGTCACTTGTCACCAGCAATGAGTTCCTCCACGAAGGCAGGCCACTTACCAGCTCCTCACATGGGATGCACGACTGGTCTCGCACTGATTTGACATGACAGAGGAACTGGAAAGGGAAGAGGGGAGACGTGAGCTGCCTCCAGGGCCCATCTGGGCCAAGCAGCAGGAGTGAGCTCTCCCCACAGGCCAGGACTGACGCGGGCCCTTGCTCCTTCAGCTGGCAGCGAGGGGCAGGCTGTGCTGTGCTCTGCACAGACAGGAAACACTACGAATGCACCAGGTGTGAAGCACCAGGCTGACAGAAAGCAACTTCAAGGCACCACAGCCAATTGATCCCTTTATGTCTTAGGTCCCACCATCCACGATCCATCTGAGCAGGGGTAGGATTTCATGACCTTTACCAGTCAGATTTCACTGCTGGGCTCTTTGCATTGCTGCGCACCACCACACACACCGGCTGTGCGCCCGTCTGATCCCTTCTGAAAGGTGATACGTGAGGAACATCGCACAGTTTGTGAAGGATTCGTGGGGAGAAAAGGCAACATACACACACTGCACAGTGCCAGGCTGCAGCAATGACTCTGCACAGCATGCAGCAGAAATCAAACCAAGAATCTTTCTGCCAAGACCAGTAAAAGCAATGAAGATGCCAACAGCAAAAGCTGAAGTCATTTAAATTATTATTCTTATTGATTTATTTCAACTTGGATCTTCCTTCTCCATGCTTTTTTTTTTTTTTGTGTCAGCCCAAGGGAACAAGAGTTCTCCTTCTCTCCAGTCCTCACCTACCCTGCAGCCAGCTGTCTCCCTTAGAAAAGTAGCTGATTTGGGGCTAGCGGGAATTAGTCTCAGTTTATCTAGATGACACAAATAGCCATAGTGCTCCTGCAGCAACAATTCAGCTGGGAGTTGGACGTGAGCCTTCCCAGTGCTGGCAGGCCAGGAGCCCCCTCCCAGGCACTGGAGGGGTGTGCTCTGCTCGGCTCTTACCTCTGGGGTGGCTTCATTAAAGTTACAGACTGTTTCCATTCCTCCCAGTTTCCAGTGCCCGTCCTCGCTTACAAACACAGACGATAAACAGACGTTGTTATGAGTGAGGTTTCCCTAAAACACAACGAAGAATGACATAAGATGCAAAATCTTAATCAGAGCTAATGAGGAACTAAAGAAAAGCTACCAAAAAGCACACAATTCTACATGCCCTTTGGGATTTTGTAGGTGACCAGCAAACATCACACTGAAGAGCTGGGTTTTTAGAGCACACAAAGCTTCAACTGTGACAGCCTCTACAGAGCAACTGTAAATCCAGAGAAAACCTCCAGCTACCAACAAGCTCAAAAGCTCCAGTCTTCCCAGCAGGAATTTACGTTCAGTCCTGGACACACACAGTACCAGAACAGGGAGCAGTGACACCAACCTCTGACACATGGCAACAGCTGTAAATAAATACAATGGCTGAGCACTCCCTCTCCATAAGCGTGAAGCACTGCAAGCAGCTTGCCATTTACAAACCTTACTTCCTAAAGCCATCCTATTTTCAATTAGCCTTCCTTCTAAAAAGCAGTCAACAATTTTAGCAGCTTCAGCCTAAAAGAACTGTGAAATTCATGTGTAATGCTAAAATGTGATGGAAAACACAACAGCGACAGTGGGCTAGCAGAGTCCCAGGCTGCAGCAAGTGAGGAAGAGCCCAAGTGTAGCAGCTGTGGATGCAGAAACAAAAGAAAAGAATCTGCTTACCTTTGGAAGGCCTCAGTTAGGCAAGCGAGATACCCTTACTCTCCCCCACCCCCACCAACACTTAAATGAGGTCTGGGAAGGGGTGGATCCTGGCTCCAGGTCTTCTGGTCACTCAGATTCATTGCATACATCTGAGCTCTCCTGGGTTGGCCTGCCTTCCCACCAGGTGCTCAATCACTGCTTCATGCTGTGACTTAGCATTTCTACTACAGCAGGCGAGTGTGCTTGCAAGGAGTTAGGAATGAGAGCTGTCCAGGCAAGCCCAACTGCAGCACTCCTCTGCCACACTTCTCCTCGCTCCCACCAAAGCCTGGTGCTGCTGGTACCTACCCTGTCATGGAGGAAAGTGAGTGCCAGCAGCACATCGTAGATCCCTGCGCAGATCTCTGCAGAAGAAAGTGTCTCCAGGACCATCTCCAAAGGCTTCACGCGTTCAGTAACCAAATGGATCCCATTAGCTTCCACAGTGCAAGAGAGGAAGCGCAGAAGGCATGGGTGGCGCAAGGTTTTCAGGTGCTTCCAGAAACAAAAACATCTATTACATCTCATCCAGTCATCTGTTGGCTGCAGAGCTTAGCCACATTTCCTACGTGAATCTAGACAGCCAACCCTGCTGCTCACCGAGCACTCAGCACACTGGCTCATTGCAAAGTACTTCATAGCACATCTGGGCGCTCACACAGAAGAATAAATACAATATTTGGAGCCTGGCTCAGAAAGACTCTCTGATTTTTGGATTTGCAGGAAGAGATCGGCACTGAGGATGCCTGCAGGTGCTGTTATCTGAACACTGCTTGTCAGCACCGCGCAGTGCAGGAAGAGCTTTGCAGCTGCTGACCCCCTTCTTCCCTACCACGTGGCCAGGGATAACCCTGATAACTCCTTCCCTCACCCCATGGCTTTGCCCCTCATTAACCACTTCCCACCTCTCCAAGAAGAAGGAGGCCCAGCTCTAAGTCTTTCCCAGCACGCCCGCTACAGTACCTTGGCAGCTTTATTAACCACGTCCTCGTTCTCCTGCTTGTACACAAAGACAGAAGCAAGTTTGCCATCTTGCAGCACAGCTGGATAAATGGTGTGTCCAGTTGGCAGCACGAACGGCGGCTCTTCCAGCGTGTAGCTCTTTAAAGCACTGTTCTCCGAGCCCATCACTCGCCGAGTTGGGCCGCTGGAGAGATTCCCTCTTGGTGACAAACGGGTCTCTGGGCGGAGGAAGAGCTTTTCAGGCAGACTGAGTTGAGGCAGGCACTATCCTGTTCAATTTCAGAGCATTTTCTGCAAAGCACGAGACAGCCATGAAGAACAATCCTATCAGTTGATTACCAACAACAGAAACAGCCTCCTAGACTCAACGCGTTACGATCTAATATCTTTATTAAATATAAACTACCCCAACTGCACAGCCCGCTAAGCAGCAGGAGCATTAGCAAGAAGCAAAATGGGACTCTTCCAAGAGTGTTTTCTATGGAGGAGACTGAACCTCCACAGCCCCTTGTTCATGTCTCACCTCCCCACCTCACCTGTCAGCCACAGCTCTGCAGCCGGCACAGCTCCCGCTGGGCTCCGTGCTGGGAGGAAGGAGCCACAGGGACACATTTGCTATGGGAACCCGAACGGCTTCTAACTGATGTAACAGGGCTCAATGTGCCGCACGGCACCAAGCGAGCACACAGCCGCAGAATCACCGAGGTTGGAAAAAGCACTAAGGTCACCTCATCCACACCAATCCCCTTTGTGCGAACCTTAGGAAAGCGACAGAACTCGGGCTCACAGCGTCCAAGCGCCACACAGAAGGGCAGGGAGGTAGGCAGAAGGGAAACAGCACAGCCTGGACGTGTGTAGGAAGGCCTTCCGTGAGACCTGCCGGGCCCACGAGGGCTCACACAGCGCCGAGAGCACGGAGCAGCGCCCGGCTGCGGGGCTGTTCGCTCACCTCGTAACCCCGCTTTTCCCAGCATGGCTGCGGGCGTTTGTTTATCCACGGCAGCGGCCGGAGCTGCGGCAGCACGAAGCTGGCGCTCCTGACCCTGACACGGGGAGCGCTTCTGAGACTGACACGAGCTCCCAGCCACACAAACCGCACGGCGCAAAGACACCCCGCGAACACGGGCAGCACGGTGCGCACGGCCGGGCTGCCGCGCTCGGCGCCGGGAACCGCCGCTCAGCCCAGCGCTGGGCGGCCGCACCCGGAAAGCGAGCGCCCCGCAGCCCAGACGCGGCCACGGGCGGACGACAGCACCGGGCCCGAACCGCCCACACACCCCGCACCCAAAGCGGCGGCAGCGGCTCCGGGCCCGCCGCGAAGTGCCGGCCCCGTCCCGCAGCCCGGCCCCGCCGCACCTGCTCCCGGCCGGCCCGAGGGAGCCGCCTCCCCTGCCCCGCCGGCCACTCGCTCCCTCCCGCACGGCGCGGCCGTCGACTGCGCTTCCGGCAGCAGCGCGAGGCGAGGAGGGAGGGAAGAACGCCGCCACGCGCCGCGCGCACCCCCTGCCGGCCCGGAGGACCCGTCGAGCGAGCGGCCCCATCTTGAGCGAGGGCAGGGCGGCCATTTGGGTTGTGGGCGAGCGGGCTCCTCCTCCCCTTTGGTGGAGGACGCCTTCATCTGAGCCGCGTCCCTGGGGGCGGGGAGGGGGGTCGGCAGCGCACCCCTCCTTAGGGCCGAACGGCAGCCCCGCCCGCAGGCGGTGTGCCGACACCGCCACGGGACGCAAGGAACGCCATTAAAATAATTGCTGCCGTTGGCGCGGAGTAAAGGGGCTCCGGGGAGAGACCGCACGTGAGTGCGTTGTGCGGCAGGAGGAGCGCCGGAAGCAGCGAGCGCAGTGCGGTGGGAGGTCCGCGCTTTTTCACACTTTGCGCTCGTATCGGCGCTGTTACTGCGGCTCCGAGGCTTTAGGATGCGGTTTGCGAGGCCGCTTTGAAGGGAGCGTTCAGAACGAGGAGGGCCGGCAGCACGGCCCGCACCCACAGCCCGTCTAGACGGGGATCAGAGCAATGGCAGCGTGCTTTAAGGTGTTCTGAGCCGCTCTAAGCCTCGGCTCGTTCTGTAACGGCTCCACCAATTCAGCGCGCGTTACGTCTCGTGCTGTCCAGCCGGCTAGAGCTCTTTAGCGGTACACGTTCACACCCGTTCCAGTTACTGCCCGCAGGCACACCCAGAAGCACGGTGCGATGGCTGACAGCCTCACCGAGCGCAAAGAAGGCAGAGTCATTCAAGAACCAAAGCAAGGATTTAGCTGTTCCCTCTACACACGTATCTGAGGTGCTGTTAGACCCAAAGGACTGCAGGCAGAGACAAAATGCAAGCAGGGAGTGAGGCTGGTGCTCTCCTGAATCTCAGAAGAAAAGAGCCGGCCACAGCAGCTCCAAGGGCTGTCAGTCGCAATGGAAGCTGTGTGAGTAAGTCAGCTTCATTGTCTTTTGTTTGTCCCAACAAAGTTGGAGCTATGCTCAGAGCAGGGTTTAATTTACCAATGGTGTATTACAGGAATTCCATTAAGAAACCTGCCAGAGGGTCTTGAAATCTGTCGTATCTAAAAAGAGCTTGTCTTGCTTGTTCCAGGAAAAGATACATCTTGTTCCTCTTTAATGTAATCCAAAGTGGATTAAATTCAGCAGAATCACAGCAATCTCATTTCAGAATGAAATACACGTGTTGAACTGTTAGCAGACAGCACTGTACACACCAGTTTAAAAGACTCTGAATCAGGTCCTTCCCTTTGGGCTGAGGATATCTGTTTGCTTCTGCCTTTCTCCACCCCGTGTTACCCAGTAAACTCCTTAATTTCAAACAGATCTTAGGGTGCTGCATTTAGTAAAATATCTCTGAAAGTACACTGTACAGCTGTAGAAAGCCTGAGTAATAGCTACCAGACATACAAACTTCTCGGCCTATGCTTATTTCACTGTGCTGTTAACTTTATAGCCTGCTTACATCTAAAACACCTGCACAGCCAAGCTCATCAATTTATTAGCAGCAGAGAGTGAAGGACGATATCCCAGTGACAGGGATCCCTGCTGTAGAGGGAAGCAAAGGGGAGCAAATCAAAGTCAGGAAGAGAAATGAGGAAAAGGTAGGCAATGCAGGAGACGTAGAAGTTGCTAGAGAAAACAGATCCCTCCTTGTCCCATTTTATACAGGATACACTACTCAGGGACTGAATCCCTAAATGCAGATAATTAAAAAGTTACCCTACAGGTCAGACGAGTGTAGGGTCTCCCTCTGACACCCACAGGAAATGTGATATAGATTGGAAAATGTATGTGCTCGTATCGTTTTTCCTCTTTCTGGCTCAGGAACCATAATTAAAGAGAAAATGAGGCTCTCTCCCGCCGTAGAGAATATAGTGGCACAGCTGGTTTTCATCTTGGCTAGCAGGCTCTGTCCTCAGGCTACCAAGTGCTGAGTAATTTTTACCAAGCTCTGCTTGCAGATAAATGATGTTCTTCTCTTAGCTGCTGCCAGGCAAAGCTACAAGTACTTGATCTTTTATTCTTTTCTCATAAACTCCTAACATTGAATACTAAAAATGCAGCTGGAGATTTTTCCACTGCCGTTTATTCTCAGCGTGGGCACAGCTGCATTACAATTACGGACACCCACCCGTTTGCTGAGTCTCAACTGCAGTTCCTCGTTAACCTCGAAGCTTCCAATTAAAGGCTCCTTCAGTTTCATTGATAGTTTGAATGTGCTCTGAGGACTCACTTCTTTCCTCCCCTCCACTCAGAACACATTCCGTGAGGAGGACAACTGCTTTAAATAACCTAATGCTGATTTTCTGGAAAATCCTGATGTGTGGGTACTGCTCCCGAAAAAAGAAAGCTTGTGTCTGAATGCAGTTTGGGTGATTCCTCTCACATCTATAGCTATAAAATATCTGAGAGGGTCCCACTAAACGTGGCGCAACTGCCAGGCAGATGGAGCGTAGGTTCAGGCCAATGAAAAGTATCACGCATCAGTTTAATTCACATTTTCTGCATGTTTCTAGAGAGAACTTCAATCTTCTAAGAAATTGCACATGAATTAGTTAACAATTGTGTAAAAAATGATTTTAAAAATAGTAGTTAATCTTGGCAAGGCTGCTCTTCCACCTACCTCCAGTAAGTGGAGCCATGAACGTTGAAGCCAGCACAGGGTGGAGGCTGAAAACTCGTAAGAAACACCATGGCTAATTTTAGAATCATTTCCAGTCACACAGAATGAAACCTGGTGAGCAGCAGTGCATATGAAGGTACCCGCACATCTTTCAAAAGCAAGGCTTAAGAACAACCCTGATTTCAAAAGATATTAAAGGTATAAGGTAAATACACACTCAGCGAACAACCACCTTTGTAGCATATACACCGTTCGTAAGGGAGCACTGGCTTCTGTTCTGGTACTGCCAGCCCCTCATCCAGGTGTGTTTGCTGTTTGAGCCGGGTGTGTGGAAGAGAGGATGGGCACAATTCTGCAACTCGACAGCCATTTAAAACTGAGGAGCTTTAAAAGGGATCTGATGAATTTTAAAAGAGATCTGAACTGCTTTCAAGATAGTGGCAAGCAGAGAGCACTGTCTGTATGCTTCCATCTATCCATTATGGGTGATGGTACAAGATTTTATTGTCTACTTTCCTAAATTCCACTTTCACATAGCATGTTTCAAACACGGCTCAGTTTCATCACAGCACTGCTTGTGTATGTCTAACTTGTCTTGGATTGTCTGCTGCTCAATCCACGCTCTGTGCTTAGACCTGGCTTAAACCCATGTGAACAAGTAGGCCGGGATAAATCGCACTTAAGGATAGAGAAGCTGGGGGGGAAAGACTGCACCTGCACTCTGAACTGAGCTGCAGTGCTTTTTTTACCTTGCTAGACTTCAGGATGTTAGGGGTTGTTTTCTCTCAACCTACAGGCATGTCCCAAAACTCACAGTAAAGGTATTTTTTTTGTGTGCTGTGGTTTCTAATTTTAAGTTTTCAACTAGACTCTAAATGCCTGAGGCCTAAAGGGAGTGAATCTGTGCCATCTTTCCATTATTAAAGTCATCAGGCCAAAGACCAGACTGCAGTAACTGTGTGTCAAGGCAGTGCCAGGAGATGCAGGGGCTGAAGTGTGTTCCTGTTACTCAAGCATTAGAGGGAAACAGTCCACAACACTTCACATGGAGCATTCCTCTTAAACACTTTGGAAAACAAACAAAACGTGGGCTAGAAATGCATTCGCCACATCCGACACTGACCACACAGGTTTTCGTATTTAATAGAAATTAAATTAGTAGCTTAATATACATAACGTGACACTTTCCAGTCCAGCAGCTTTTCAATACTTGTTTTCAAGTCACAGAGCAAATCTGGTACAAAAATGGTATTAAAGAGCAACGGAAGAGTAACACAGTCACTAGGACAGCAGACCCAGAAAGGCTGGGTTTACCTGGAGCTACACACGCCAAAGGATACATAACGACGGACCCGCTGTGGTACAACCATGCACTACCAAGGGACAGATCTACCGCCTGCCATGCACACGCTGGTCCCTGCAGGCAGGGCGCAGCAGCCCGGTGCTTTATCGTGCTCCATAGCCGTAGTAGTAAGGCTCGTCAGGCCGGTACCCATAGGCAGTGGCCGGGCGGCCGGGAACTCCTGGGGATTGACCAAAGCCATCAACACCGACACTGCAAAAAGAAGGGAGAGAAACCGTAAGAAACGTCAGCTTGTTGCGTGGTGGGGAAGGCGCGCTGCTGCTGGATGCTCCAGCTCTTCAACTTAGAAGCAGCTTAGCGTCTTTCTCATCCTAGCCAGCACTGCTCCGTCCTCACTCCTGCAGAACAGAATAGCTGAAGAGAAATCAACAGCTCTTTTCCAGGAAAAGGAGGCCTAAGAAAAAAAAAAAATCCCTGCATGAATTC